AAGTGTTTTGACCCCTAAAACCCATTAAACCCTCAATACTAAACTTTAATACAATATAGTTAACCCAAACATAAATGATATAATAGAAATTTCAAAAATACCACTTTTCAAGTGCCACTTTACAAAAATGCCACACTTTTGAAATCTTTACAATAGTGCCACTTTTTCAAAATTATTTTTTCTTCATATTATTTATGTTTGGGTTAATTATGTTCTACTAGGGTTTAGTTATGAAGGTTTAGGGGGTTTAAGGGTCAAAACATTTTTTAGTGTTTAGAATTTTAAGATATAGGGTTTAAAAATCTATAATTAGTGGTACTTTTGCAAAAGAACACCCCTAAGTGGCATTTTTGCAAATGTGCACATAAAAAGTAGCATTTTTGTAATTTTCCCATGATATAATGAAATTTATTTTCTGAAAAAGTGGCATTTTTGCAAAGATTTTGAAAATATGGCATTTTTGAAATGTGGCACTTGAAAAGTGACATTTTTAAAAATTTCTCATTAAATTAACCAATCAAAACATTCCAATTAATTATATATGCCAAATTGGAAATCTTTACATATTTACATTTTTTAACATAAACTCACAAATACATATCCTCTATATATTAATTGAGGAGACATTAAGTTAAAAAATCTCATGTGTCACTCAATGAGAATTTAAGAGATACATCATTTAAATTAACTAATCAAAACATTTCAATTAATTCTATATACCAAATTGGAAATATTTACATTAACATTTTAACAGAAATTCACAAATACATATCCTCTATATATTAGTTGAGTAGATACTAAGTGAAAGAATCTTATGTGTCACTCAATGAAGATTTTAAGGAACATATCAATTAAATTAACTAATCAAAACATTCCAATTAATTATATATGCCAAATTAGAAATCTTTACATATTTACATTAATTTTTAACATAAACTCACAAATATATATATTACTAATTTAAATTCAACTAAAATATAACACATTTTAATATTTTAAACTTTAACATAATGTTTCAACGATGAATTATTAGCCGATGTCAATTATTTTATAAAATTGTATTTACATCCATTTGAATAACATATGTGATTGATTATATAAAATTTTTAATATTGGTTAATTGTATATATATTACTCTAATTAAAGTTACGAATTTTTTTTATAAACGTACATTTTTATAAAAGAACCATTAATGTTTGAATTTCGAAAATTATCATTTTTACTTATTTACATACTAATGCGATATTTTTTTGATTTGGTGAACTCAAATAAATTTGAGAAAATCTATAATCTCGAACATATTAGATTTACATTAACAGCTTACCAATATAAGTGTTATGCATATTAATCTTTATAAGATAAAATATAAAAATTTATATGAGAGATAAACAATTTGATATTTTTTTTTTAATTTCTCCCGTATATTATGAAAAAATCATAATTTATTTTTATTTTGAAATATTCTAATTTTGCATTAAACGCATGCCAAAAATCTAAGTTGAATTCAATCAAGAAATTCTTTATATTTGTTTAAGTGATGTTAAGGGTTATTGTACACCTACTAAAAGATCATTGAATGTTTATTATTTTCTGCGATAAATTTATTTATCTAAGAGTTAATAGGAAAATACTATAGAATGATATAAGGTAAACAGAGAGAGTATTTGTTCTGGTCTTTCTATAAAAATGAAAATAAGAGGTAAAAAATAGAACAAAAGACGATATTGAGATAGAGGGGATGGTTGTTTGCAAAGATGTCCTTTATACCCATTTGTTGGTTGGAAGATTTGGAAGATGCGAAATTATCTTGTCTTTAATGGGAAGAGGGAATTAATTTCAACGATAATTCAGAAAGCTATAATGGATTATAATCAGTGGGTAGAGGCACAAAAACATAGTGAAAGTTATTTGGAGCAGCAAGTTGTTCAAATGCCTTATAAGCCGAGTACAATGGCAGAGGTCGTTTACAGAGACTAATAAATGGTGTTGTTTTGTAGATAGTTCCTGGAACTCAGATAAGGAAAAAGCTGGTATAGGTTGGATATTGGTGGATAATGAAGGGAGAAGAATTATGAAGCGCTCATCTTCTACTGAACCGTTGCTAAGCCCTTTAGTTGCGGAGGCATTTGCTTTGAGAGGCGCAGTCCAACAGATCAAAAGACATGGGTACAGGGATGTAGTTTTCTTTGGAGATTCAAAGGTCTTATTTGCATCCTTGTCAAAGCACTTGAATGAGCTCAAAAAGGAGGAAATAAAAAAATATATGTGTTCTGTGAAGACATTAGGAAAATGGCAAATGTAGAGAATGGCTTCAGCTTCGATTGGGTCCCTAAAGAGGTTGTCTATGAGGTTGGTGCTTTAGCAAAAACTGCTAGGTTGTTAAGATTGAACTATGTAATCTCTTGGTTTCAATCTGTATAATTCAAGATGTAAAAGACATTGTGATATTTTCTTGGTAATGAATATGTTGGTCGACAAAAAAAAAAAAAATTGAGATTTTTTTTCTTCTCTAATTGTTATTTCTTTTATCCTTTAAATTAGATTTTTTTCTCACTACTCTACAGGTCAAACCCAATAATTTCGTCTGTTAGGAAAACAGAAAGATGTGTTGGAGCAAAGCTGGCCATAGAATTTTCTTGCATGTGTATTTAAAATTTTCCAACGGTGCGATGGCACAATAATTGAAATAATATATTTTTCTGATTTAACGACAATCACATGTGAAATATAAACTAATACAAAGATTAAACAGATACTAGTAGCCGTAAATTTAGCTGATTGAAAAGATATTGGTGTTAATATATTACTGCATTGTTTGACAATTAGTCGTAAAAAGACAGGATTAGTTGATTAACGAATAATGAGATAAATAAGCTGTATTTACAGCACAAATATAACCCAACCGACAAAATAGTAAAATTAAACTAATTGAGTGTACACCACTAGAAGAGCAATACACAAATCAAGCATACATAAAAAGAAGAGCGCATATAAATAATAATTCCTTATTTCTGAATAACGAGTAATTAAAAATGTTAACTAACAAGAAAATTTTAAATACAAATTGTCAACATAGAAAAAAAAAGTTAAAGAACAGATCGAAGAAAGTAAAAGATATTCATATGATCCAACATGTTTGTTTTTCAATGATCAAAGATATCTAAACCTTCAAGAGACTTTAGTAGATCTACCGATCTGCCACATTATTCCGATTTTTCTTCTTAATCTCCCGGCGATCCAACGATTAATCGTCACACTAAACAGAGAAAGACGGAGAAAAGAGCAAAGAGAAAAGAACACATAACCCGATCTGAGCCAGAACCTGACGGTGGAGGCGTATGATAGTAAAACGGAAAATAAGGAACGATCGGATTCGGCGGAGGCGGCGTAGGATAGTTTCCAGAATACGGCGGAGGGTAGTAATAACCTTGACCGCCGCCACCGTAGGGAGGAGGGTATTTGCTGCCGCCACCGGACTGAGAGGGAGGAGGATAATAGTAAGAGCTGCCACCGCCACCGCCACCAGAGCTC